GGAAGGTAATGGTGCTCCATGTAGTCATGCCGGCAACATGACCTTGGAGGTGTCTACAGACAACACTGGCTCTTTGGCTTAGAAATGGAGATGAGCACCGCCACCCAGAGTTGGACCCAACTGGACTTAATGTCAGGGGAAAACCTTTTTGTTGTTGTTTATTTGTTCAGACGCTTCCGACTCTTCGTGACCTCACGGATCAGCCCACGCCAGAGCTCCCTGTCGGCCGTCACCATCCTCAGCTCCTTCAGAGTCAAGCCAATCACTTCGAGGATACCATCTATTCATCTTGCCCTTGGTCGGCCCCTCTTCCTTTTTCCTTCCATTTCCCCCAGCATCGTCGTCTTCTCATTGGGAAAATCTTTACCTTTACCTATATGGCAGTGTGGACTCAGATAGTTCAAAGCAGATATTGTGGGATTTTCTGCCGCGACATTCAGGGTTATATGGCTGTGTGGAAGGGCCCAGAGAGCAGGAGGTTTCCACCAAGGGAGCTGTTTTGGGGAGGCGGCCGTCCAGCTTCAGAAGGGGCGAGGCTCCGCTAGGGAGGCGAGGAGTGGCCCTCCTGCTGCTGCCTCTTGGCCAACCAATGGCGACCTGGAGGGCGGCTTCGTTGCCGGAGGGGGCTGCGACGTTGACTCCACGAAGAAGTCCATTCCTGCCTCAGGAGGAGGAAGAGGAACAGCAGCCCCTCAGCCGGCGCCTGTCTCCGGGGTGGCCAGTTGGGGCTCCTCCACTTCGCCAATTCAGCTTCTCAAGACATCCAAGAAGCTGCCTTTGAGGGCTGGGTGAGGGAGGAGGGCCAAACCCAGACTTTGGAAAGAGAAGGGGAGGCAAAACGAACTGAGGAGAAACGCAGCCCCTTTTTCCTCGCTTCGACCATTTCCAGTCCATGTTGGTAAACAATGAGCGGCGGCAAGGAGCGGCGCCTCTGCCTGGAGGTGCTCCAAGGTGAGGAGGACACGCACAAACAGACCGAGTTGAGCAGAAAGAAGTGCGCGTGGGAAGAAGGAGAGCAAAGGTCTCTCTCTCCTTCGGGCCCTGGACTGGGGCCCTCTCCGGTTGGAGCCTTGCCTTTGCAGCGCCTCTCCAGGCAAAAGTTTGGTTTTGTTTTCTTTCTGCCTCGCTGCGCGGTTGGGTTGCTTTCCCACACCGCCTCCGGCGAGAAAGCAAGAAGTGGGGGGAGGAGGACGAGGCCCTGGCAGCAAAGGGGCTTGCATAACAAAAGGGGGCGGCCATCCCCTTTCTTCTTGTTTTTCTTTAGACAGAAGTCTGCCTGTCTGCCCCCCCCCTCCCTTTATTAGGCAGAAATGGGCGTAGTCTGTATGGACGGCTTCAGAGGGTCTAAAACAGGCCTGGGCCAACTTGGGCCCCTCCTTCCAGGTGTTTTGGACTTCAACTCCCAACCATTCCTAACAGCCTCAGGCCCTTTCCTTCCCCCCACCCCCCTCAGCCGCTTAAGTTGGCCCAGACCTGATATATATTGCCTATCTCTCTCTGATACTGGGGAGAATGTATATCTATATATTACATGATAGCCAAGTATAAATATGTGAAGGGAAGTCACAGGGAGGATGGAGCAAGCTTGTTTTCTGCTTCCCTGGAGACTAGGACACGGAACAATGGCTTCAAACTACAAGAAAAGAGATTCCATCTGAACATTAGGAAGAACTTCCTGACTGTGAGAGCCGTTCAGCAGTGGAACTCTCTGCCCCAGAGTGTGGTGGAGGCTTCTTCTTTGGAAGCTTTTAAACAGAGGCTGGATGGCCATCTGTTAGGGGTGTCAGAGTTATTAAATATTGAACACATGTGGCTTTTGGTCCATCCTGTGGAAGAGACACTCTTTTAAACTGATACTGTGCGTTTTAATTCGTTTATGTGTTTTTAACGAATATATGGTAAGTGGACTCATGGCCTTTCCACACAGACATAGGACATAGAATATCAAGGCAGAAAATCCCACAATATCTGCTTTGAGCTGGGTTATCTGAGCCCCCTTCCACTCAGATTAATAAAATCCCACATTATTAGCTTTGAACTGGAATATATGGCAGTGTGGACTCAGATAAGCAGATATTGTGGGATTTTCTGGCCTGATAATCTGGGTTATATGGTTGTGTGGAAAGGCCCAGAGCCCATTTGCCATATATTCATAAAAAACACACATGAATTAAAACACATAGCATCAGTTTAAAAGAACATATAAAAGCAGTAACTTTTAAAAACAATCAGTCCAAAGTTTTGTTGAAGGCTTTCATGGCCTTCACTGGGTTGCTGTGAGTTTTCTGGTCTGTATGGCCATGTTCCAAAATCATTCTCTCCTGGTGTTTCACCCACATCTATAGCAGGCATCCTTAAAGGTCGTGAGGTCTGTGAGCAACAGGTTTCCTCACAGGATGTGAACTCAACACAGACCTCACAACCTATGAGGATGCCTGCCATAGATGTAGGCAAAACGTCAGGAGAGAATCCTTCTGGAACATGGCCATACAGCCCGTAAAACTCACAGCAACCCAATCAGTCCATAGTGTTCTGTTGTCTTTAAAGCCCACTGATTGAGTAAGTGATGATTCTGAATCCCAGTATGGCCTAAGCATGTTTATTTGAAAGTCACTCCCTTTGGAAATAACTACCATTTCTTTGCCAAAGAAAATACACAAAACATTTCATCAGTGCGGTGTTAGTTATTTTACAAATAACAAAGGATCCTGTAAAAAACAGCAAGCAATTTTGTTGTAGGACTTAAAGCACAGATTGTTAACTTGTGGCCCAGGTGAGTCCACGAACTGGGGACAAAACATGTTTCCCCCTTCTGGTTACATTCTTGCTACTTTGAAACTTGTATTGAAGTGCATGGGCAGGGAGGGTACTTTGTTTTAGTAATACTGTACTCTCAAAGTGGTTTCAGAGCTACAAAAGAATTGCTGCCTTCAGTGCTAACAAGTTTTATTTGGCACAATCTTTAATGAACTGGAGCCCACTTTGCCAGATACAGTCCTCTTAAGCTTATGCCAAAGAAAATGTATTTGTTTTTTAAATGATGCAGAACGCCTGGCTGCTTTTACAGAAACTGTAGCACTCTATGCATTAACATGTTTAGCATTAGTATCTAATTTGAGTGAGATACTTTTCGGGCCTTTTTGCATTAAAATCAAATCAACGGAGTGACACCTACTGTCTTGTCTTCAATATTATGTACAGAAGAGAACTCTTTTTTTCTCCTGGTTTACAGTATGTCGGACAATAATATCTTCAAAGCCACTAGGCTTATCTACCCTGACTCAGATAACTAAATAACTATTTAGCAAAGCAACAGTGATTTTCTTTCCTATTTAAGAAATCAAATATGTGTCCCTGGTAACTACACTAAATCTTCATTAGATTTGCATAAATAGGAACTGTGTCAAATTGTATTCCAAATACATTCTCCTGGTCTTGCTTTGAGATTTGTGTGTGGGTGGGTGGGTGTGCTTGTCAGGAGTGACTTTAGAAACTGCAAGTCGCTTCTGGTGTGAGAGAATTGGCCATCTGAAAGGACATTGCCCAGGGGATGCACAGATGTTTTACCATCCTGTGGAAGGCTTCTCTCATGTCCCCACATGGGAAGTTGGAGCTGACAGATGGGATCTCATCCTGCAGTCCTGCCAGCACAAAGGTTTAAACCATTGCGCCACTTCACAGTGCCTTTGGTGTCCCAGTGTTAGATGTGGGCATCTTCAAGTGAATACTTACATAAGCCAAAATCCATTTGGTACTTCCAGTTAGAGGCAACCCATTGGATCATTTACTGAAGCCAACACTTGTGATTCTCCCTGATTCTGGGTAGAACTACCAGAGATATAGCCATCAATCTTGATATGTTATAGGGTTTCTGCATGCAGAATTCCAGACCAAAAGGGAAGTCTGCACACTTTCAGGCCTGTTTTTCATAGGCTATTACTTTTTTTTGTCTTAGCTTAACATACATGTTTCAGAAATTACATGCAGCTTTGGTACTGGAGCTTGAAGTATGATTTCCCTTCACAAGATACATGCAGGAAGATGTCTTTAGTTGCATCAAGGATGGACAAAATACAGCATGCAAGTTACATATATTCTTACCCAAACTTCTCATTTGCCTCTCCCTGATAGCATTGAACAGATGGTCCACCTAATCTTTCTGAAAGTCTTTCTGGAATGGTGTTAAACTGCTGAGCTATGCTGTTCTGCATCCCATAAGCCGGTCTTCTGTACTTAGATATTGTAGAGTAGACATCAGCAGTGTGAAGCCCATAGGGACCTTTCTGTTCCTTCCAGAATTTTTACTTTTAAAAAATCATAATTGTGCTTTGATATCAGAATGGAGTGTGCTAAAAGGAGCCAAATGCATTGGAGTTCCTTCTAGATCAATATCACAGTCAATTTCATACTCATTGAAGTCTATTTAAAAAATGTATGGTCCACTTATTCATAAATATCAACTTAATAACAATCTGGTATAACTGGGGGATTTTAGTAGTAACTGGGAGAGTTTTACTGAATATAAGGCTATTTAATTTTTTGTGTATGTGCTGTTGATTGTATGTATCCTTAACTAAAAGTCAACCAAAAAGGATGGCCACTGAGTACTTGAGTAGTGTTCACAATCCCTGTGACAATTCCTCATGTTCTTTTACTCTGTTTGTTTATGTTATCAACTTCTCAGTGCAGTTGAGTGATGTTTGAACATGAGAAACATACTGACAGTTCAGAGATTGCTGTTTTCTGGCATGGTCCAAGGAGATTCACAGGTGAATTGGAGTTGTCCTTGTGTTCTCCTCATGTCCAGATTTAACACCGCAATTGTTATGATGCTCTGTTTAATTCATAAAGCACCCAAAGAAAAACAGTTATTCCCTGGGTATTTAGAAGTCTTTGCCTTTTGTATGTTTAACTCACTTAAAAGCTTAGGATCAACACATTTTGCAAAATTGTGTTTATTTTAAGTACTAGTACAGTGTTTTTTTTGTTTTCATTTTCAGATCGTCTTTATTTTGCCATTCTCTTCCATAAACCAAAGAATGGTAGCTCAAGTACACACTATTTCTGCATAGATGATGAATTGGTATATGAGAAGTAAGTATAATAATATTAACAGCATGAATAAAGATGCCACAGGAGTCTTTGATGTAGATATGTCTTGGGCTTATAGAAATTGCAATGAAGAGGTTCTTAAGATAAAAGAGATATAAAAAGGACACTCATCTAGATTTCTGTCATGTATAGCATTGTGTTTTGTCATAGTTAATTGCCCAGATGCTTCTGGGAAGCTTACAGGATATCTTCTACTGCTAAGTAGCTGATACTGAAAGATGTGCTTCCTCTTATTGTTAAAAATGGTAGTCATTGTGATTAGTAGTTATTGATAGCACTATCCACAATGAACCTGGCTGTTATCTTCTTTTAAAAAAATACTAAAAAAAACTAAATTGGTTGTCATCACTGTATCTTATGACAGGGAATCATTTCATAGCTGAGTCATAGAGTGCACAGAGAAATGTGTGCTTTGCTTGTCTTGTATCTTCTATTATGTGGTTGTTCAGTGTCATTTATTATGATAGAAGGGTTACCTATCCACATTGAAAAGTTCCAAAAAATAAGCTAGTTCTCTATTCTTGTATTAATAGGAATCACAGTTGTCGCAGTATTTGCTATTCTCCCTGAGTAGAACCGAGCACAATTCCTGGGAATATTTCCTAGTGTCTCATTTAGAGAGTTGCTGTCACAAAAGCAGGACTGTCCTATATTTTGTTTTGGAAGGTCCAAGAAATGTTTTGATTTAATATCAACATTGTTTTAGTCAGCTACTTTAGGGTAGTTAATGAAAACCAGCTGGACAACATTAGAACCAGTAGCTGGGGATTGTAGGCCTAAGGCTACAGTCCAAAACAAATTGTGCATGCATGCAAGTGGGGAACTGAGCACAGAAGTAAAGCTTTCTGTGTATTTTCCTCGTTTAAAAAACACAAACAAACACCACAGCTGGTTTAACATAATCTTCAGATTTCTCTTTTCCCAAGGAGACTTGAAATCTGGGGAACTATTTTGAATGAATAATGATGTGCCATTTCCTGTGGGCTCCACTGTTTTAGTACCGACAGTATATCTTAGTTTTCTTCATGCATTATTCACATGACTAGGTGCCATGCAATGACAAGTAAGCAAGGCTAAGTTCCTGTCATTATTTGCCTGACCAGCCCTACTCCACTTTCGTGCTTATATTTAGGAAAATGAGTATCTTTTATCATGTAAGGGCTTCCAACAATTATACATGTGTCACTGCACTTTGCTTCTTAAGACATTGTCCTGAGTATATTTCCGTATTGAAAGGTGAGTCCAGAGCATAGATTATGCAGAGGTACAACAGGCATCACCCTCCATGCATATCTTTTCATATTCATGCATTACCTTTGTGCCTGCGAGAATTGAATGTTACAGCTGCATTTTACATAGAGCTGGCACACTATAAAATTGTGTGCTGAAGAGACTAATTGAGAGGAAGCAAGGCAGACCAGTGAGTCACATCAAGATGAATTAGGCAGTTTCCTCCATGGATTTAGGGTTAATTGTCTATTTAATTCTTCATGTGAGCTGTGGCTCTGCCCATTTTCATCAGTGGCCGTATCCAGTAGTGATATGTGGTTTATGTAATCTAGCCCAAAACCAGTTTGCTCATGAAGGCAGAAAAGGTTTTTCACCTTCATCTTAATCTGTTATTTGCATCTCTCTTGTGTGTGCCTTAGTGGATTATTAGTCATCACCCACAGTATGCATTTAATTTGCAACTGGAAAGTTTTAGAATGGAAACTGAGAAATGTTTCCAAGGCTTATAATTTTTGTGTTGCCTTCCAAACAAGTTTCTTAAAGCGGTGCCTGAAGATATTTTATTTCAGGTTCCAAAAATGAATTTAGAATTCATTAACATTGTGATCTAGTAGTTGCTGCAGAGCTCTTTGCATAATTGTTTTTCCACCGATAATCGCAGTATGTTCCCACAGAAATTCGAATGAGAATTTGACAAAACAATATGCCAGTTATAATGCCTGCTTACTGTAATGTGAACAGTGTTGTGGAAGAGGGGGATGTGGTTCACTGAACAGCCATTTCAGCAGAAATCTTACAATTAAATCACATTTCTTCTTTCTTTTCCACCCCTTTCCCCAAGCTTCTATGCAGATTTTGGTCCACTCAATCTGGCAATGATTTACAGATACTGTTGCAAGCTAAATAAAAAGTTGAAGGTAAAAATGTCTCCATACATTTAATATTTAAAGTCTTCTGGATCATGTTGATTCATAAATTGTTGGAGAACTTGATATTGTTAAGTCAAAGGTTCAATCTGTATATTTTTATTGTTTTTTTCTATTTGTTCTTATTTGAAAAAGTAATCTTGGTATGTGTATTCCTGAAGATAGTCTAGTGTATATTGGAAGTATGTGCCAGAAGGGTGGGAACAAATAATGTGGTGGAACTTTCTTGCTTTTATTTTAAAGTACTAATAGCTGGGTGTTCATTCTGTGGTTAATGGTTAAAGGCAGTAAAGCCAAGAAGTGTATAACCATGGAGTTTAATGTCCCATGGTATCATGAACAAAGAAAACTAATTAGGAAATACTCTCTGGAGTAGAAACCCCCCTCCCCAGGAATGTCCTGTTCTGGCAACCTGCCAAAATGTGAACAGCTTTAGGGCATAGCAGCACATCTTTCTTTAATATGTAAAAAATGTTCCAACAATGGTTTGAATGATAATACTAGTTCTTTATAGTAAACACACCCTTACATGCTTTCTGCAAGCCTTAGTATTCTTGTCTAAAATACTGTACTTTAGAAGCAAAATAACTACTGTTAAGAAAATCAATTTTATTTCTTTTGGTTTCTTCGGAAGATCAAGTTCAAGCCTAACCTTGAATTGATTACCGTATTTAAATACATTATTTAGTACAATTTTCAGAATCTAAAGAATCAACTTGTAACATTGTTCATTTATCCATACAGTCCTTTACCATGTTAAGAAAGAAGATTGTTCATTATGCTGGTATTGATCAGAAAAAACAAGCCAATGCAGCCTTCCTTATAGGCTGTTACTGTGTAAGTATTTCACCTATTCTGTAAACATTTTAATGTCTAACTTTAAATAGACATGGCCATAGTTTTGTGATTTTCTTTTCTTCGAATTACATCTAATAATCTATTAAGTTGAAGTTCATATATTCTTGTTCCCAATTGAAAGAAAGGAAGACATTCGTATGGTACTGTTTTGTCTATAATAGATCGCATTTTTATTTAATTTTAGTTGTTAAAGCATAATTTTATATGTTGGGTTGTCAATTTTCATTATTATGGGTGCATTGTTGTTGTGTTCGGACATTGAATGTTTCCTTTTTATTTTTTGGAATCCCTCTTGAGTCCTTCCAGTGAGATAGGGTGGAATATGCATAAAGTATTATTATTATTATTATTATTATTATTATTATTGGTTCATTTTCTTTCACATAAATGGTGCAAATATGGAAATGCTTAAAAACAAAAACCACACCATTCTATTGATATGGCCAAGTTTGAGGGAACGTTGCTAATTAATTAATAATTGAAGAATACCATATTTGCGAGGTAGAGAAACGTTAGCATGGCTTAATTGGAGAAACGGCTCTTTGGGTCAGAGGTTAGCAAAGTGCAGTCTTTCAGATGTGGTAATAATTAAGGACCCAGCCCTAAGCAGCATCACTAGTGATTAGAAGTGCTGTCAGTTACAATTAAACAACATCTAGAAGGACATTTCTGCTATAGGCTGTCTTTCTGCCACATGGAAAGTGGATCGTGCTTTGGAGGAGAAGGAGGAAGAGGAGTATTTTCTTTGTTTCACGCTCTTTTATTCAACACTGCTCCCATCAATCAGACCAGACTCTCTTCCATGAAATCCAGACTTTTCTAAGGTGATTATGAGTTATAGAGTTGAATGAGTTGCTAGATTCCTCAGTCATGATGAGTAATACTGGATAAGCTTTCCTGAAGGGCATCTTGCCTGTCTTGTCTAGCCATAGCGGAACACACCAACAGGGCTCATTAGTAGACAGCATACATTTTTGGATTGGATGGCAACCAGTCTCTGATGTTGGATTTCTAAAAAAGAAATGGCAACATCTTTCACCGTATCTTAATCACTGGTTTGTTTTTCTGAGCCAAATATTTCTGACTTTGATGATGTTGCCCTTCAAGTAAGCTTGTTTTGGATTTCAGTCTTATATTTTCCATATATGGATTAGTATTAATTTGTATATGGGATGTGTATCTTGAAGTAATGGCAGGTGTCCAGTAGTAATAATGGGGGAAGAGAAACAAATAACTTCTTCTGGATTATTTCCCCACAATCCTCTTTTTTTGTTCCAGTCCTGAAATGCATTCTAGGTCTCACTCATTTTATGCAAGATAAGTGGTAGAGTAGCCTTGCTATACCCATGTTTCAAACCTTTGCAATATACTGAGTGACTGCAGCAGGTGAATGAATTTAGAGAAGGCTCACTGTTTAATACTGGAGCTTAATAGCTGCTTTTAATAGCAACAGTGACTCTTGAATTGCTGTTTGGTTGCTCCAAGCACATAGTTTTATTTGATTTTTAATGTCCTTCCCTTTCTCACAAAGAGCCCAGGACAGTTTTTGAATTATTAATTGTGACATTTTTCATGCTTAAGTTCCTTTTAATGGGATATGTTTACCAATGTTTAGAAAACACACCAAACTGTTTTGGGACCAGCTTCTTTTTCAGTCTAAATGAAGTTGTAATAACTGAGGTGCAGGATGAAGAGAATTTCTGTTCAGAGATCTGTAACACTCATATCATGTTATGTGCTTATCACACATTGGCATGAGCATGATTTTATGCAATTCAGTCTACTTAATAAACAGCACCCACGTGGATGCATCATGCAAAAAGAGATGATAATGATGATGATGGTGGTGATTATTATTATATTTATTTATTTATACCCTGCTTTATCTCTCCCACAAGAGACTCAAAGCGACTTACCATAAAAGCATTAGCATACAATTTAAAATATACAAATATTAAAACAGAATTAAATATGAACAGTATCTAAAAATTCACAGTTAAATGTTTAGTGTCAGATGTATGTAGGAATGTATGGGATCCTGCTTTTGCAATATTGTAGTTGTGACTTCCCTTTGCAATTTATTTAAGTGTTAGGACATTTGCTTGAGTGTGTTGGCTTACTTAGCAAATAAAAGTTTGACTAAGCAGAATGATGCTGTTGATTGAATGAACCACATTTTTTATAAAAAGTTTTTCTTATTCAGTGCTGATGAAAGGCTGGCTAAGGACTTACAATGGCTAGTATATCCATTTATCTTAAACATGTGAAGCTGTGGTTAAACCCTTGTGCCGGCTGAACTGCTGACCTGAAGGTCAGCGATTCGAATCCACTAGACGGGGTAAGCTCCTGTCTGTCAATTCCAGCTTTCCATTTGGTGACATAAGAGAGGCCTCCCACAGGATGGTAAAACATCTTGGCATTCCCTGGGCAACGTCTCTGCAGACAGCCAATTCTCTCACACTAGAAGCCACTTGCAGTTTCTCAAGTTGCTTCTGATATTATTAAAAAAAACTTAAGCAGGAATATATAACACATTTAGCATCCTGAAAATATTTTATAGGACTCTAACCTCCCTTGTATGAGACTAGGACATTTGTAGCCCTAGAGCAGGCATGGGCAAACTTTGGCCCTCCAGGCATTTTGGACTTCAACTCCCACAATTCCTAACAGCTGACCTGTCATTAGGAATTGTGAGAGTTACAGTTGTAAACACCTGGAGGGTCAAATTTTGCCCATGCCTGCCCAAGAGGTTCTAGTCTGTTATAGAGTCCACAGAAACTTTGATCTATATACTAATTCTCTGGTATTCACATTTAAATGGTGTTAAACTATTCACTCAGATTTGAGCAACTTCCCAGACAGAGTTTGAAACAAACAAAGCATCCCTGAGACAAAAAAAACAACAACCCCAAACAAACAAACCCCTGTTGCCTTTTTGTACTGGAATATTTTTGACCCAATCAATGTAGGGTTAATATATTGAGATTTTTTTAAAAAAATCCCATGGTATTGATTGGTGAATTTTGGTGCATGAAGTAGTTGTAGCAAGTGCTCCATTTGGAAGAAATTGTTTATTCCAAAGGAAGAGGTGATCTGAATAGGATTTGAAATAGATGGGAATTATCTTTGTAGTAAAAAAAAATACTGTAAAACATAGACAATATAATATGTTGTGTCTTTTTTTAAAAATATCCTGATAAAATAATGATCGACTAAGAAAATTTAATGCATTGACACCAATGTATTGTTCTCAAAGTTAAGCATTTTATAGTTTTCTTTTTGCTTAGAGCTTTTAATAATCCTTAATTTTCAGGTATATCTGTCATAGTATTACAAAGTACCATGACTACAGAAGTGTATAATAACATTCCCAGCAGCTTTCAAGCACATTTCATAACAGTAAGAGAGCTAACGTTAAAAATGTATTTTAACAATGAATTTGATAAAGAGTTGTATTTGCCACCTGATATTTTGATATCCCTCACACCATTATTGTCCCCAAAACCCATATGGTGTATGCCTTTTTGTATTTATTAAAATCTGGATTATGCCTTCATAAATGTATCAAATAATGTACAGTTTGTTGCTGATACTGAGGATTATTGTGACAGGATACATCTGATATCATATATAGCAGATAATTATATAGCACTATCATGTTTAGCTAATAATTATACAAGAACCTACAACACTACAGCTTCTTAATATTATTTGCACACTTTTTAAATTTAGGAATAAATAATGTAATGTACAGAATCAACACTTGACTAATAAAGCCAAGATCTTTAAAAAAGATATCGCCTCCAGTGAATACTGGATTTTAGAAACCTTAATAACTCCAATGGTCACATAGAACTTTAGATTATGAAGGTTTGAGATTCATTTGAGAAAATTAATTTGGGATACAGATAACATGATTGGGTGAGTTTTCTGGGCTGTATGGCCATGTTCCAGAAGCATTCTCTCCTGACGTTTCGTCCACATCTATGGCAGACATTCTCAGAGATTGTGAGGTCTGTTGAAAATTAGGCAAGTGGGGTTTATTTATCTGTGGAATGTCCAGGGTGGGAGAAAGAACTCTTGTCTGCTTGAGGCAAATGTGAATGTTGCAACTAACCACCTTGATTAGCACTGAATGACCTTGTAGCTTCAAAGCCTGGCTGCTTCCTGCCTGGGGGGATTCTTCCTTGGGAGTTGTTAGCTGGCCCTGATTGTTTTCTGTCAGGAATCCCCCTGGTTTTTTTTAGTGTAGCTTTTTATTTACTATTCTAATGTTAGAGTTTTTAAAATTCTGGTAGCCAGATTTTGTTCATTTTCATGGTTTCCTCCTTTCTGTTGAAATTGTCCACATGCTTGTGGATTTCAGTGGCTTCTCTGTATAGTCTGACATGGTGGTTGTTTAAGTGGTCCGGCATTTCTGTGTTCTCAAATAATATGCTGTGTCCGGGTGTTCATACATGGCCATACAGCCTGGAAAACTCACAGCAACACAGTGATTCTGCCATGAAAGCCTTCAACAACACAGAGAATATGATGTTTCTTCCTTTCACATCAGGGACCTTCCTGCTACTAATCCTGTGTGAAATTGTGGTGTTTCTTAAAGAAGAAGAAAGATACAGTATCAGTATTACTTAGAGTATAGCTACAATTATACTATTGGAATACTAAGTAATGCTTTGAAATAAAGTATTCTTTTATTTTACTTCTTATGAATCAATGCATAAACTTCATCTTGCGTAAAGAAGCAGAAATCTGTTAGAAGGTGTTGATCGTGATGTGTGTTAGCAGACTGAAATGACATGACTTCTGCTGTGATTATTAGCCCCCTCTAACATTTCAAGGATTACAAGAGAAATATTCTTTCTCCAAGTATCTGTTTGTCTGCTTTAAATCAGAAATAATTTTTGTGTGTCTTACCTTTGCTTTCTGCCTTCTGCTTCCATTTCAGCTCTTCTTTCCCAATCCCGCATTAACTTAGT